CCCTACTGAAAACACTGACAAGATTTTTGCAAGTTAGTTAGCCGTCCAAGCCCGTCTCATCTATCATGTTATCATCCAAACCATTCTTCCAAAATTCGGTGGATGTTCGGATGTGTCGTATATGGAAGCCTTTCTCATATGGTATATCCTAAACAGAAAGCAGTTTGACCTCTCCTTCATAATCTTTCACCACATGCAAGATTGCATTAAAAAGGAGAAAACACACCTCTTTTATGCCATGCCTCTTACCCTCATCTTTAGAGCATATAAGGTGCGAATAGAAAGAGAGGACAAAAAGGAGATTACAAATCTCTATAGATTTGACAGAGACTTGCTAACTCAAATGGGTCTAAAAAAATCCGAAGCCAACATTTGGTATGACCCTAAGTTTAGAGTTCCTCAAAATGAAGGCCAAGATATGGTCATGGATGAGCAACAAGTAGGAGATGTTGAAAAGGGTGGTGATGGAGATAGAGAAGAGGAAGTTGAGGTTGAAGAAGAAGAGGAAGCTGAAGAGCAACAAGAAGCCACTGCTGTCCCTTCCTCAGAAGAGCAATCCCTTCGTGCGCTGCTCTTAGAAAACATTGCTCTTTCTAAGGAGCAAATTGCCCTTAGCAAAGAGAACAGGGAACACATTCTTGAGATGCGTGAACGCCTTGAAGAAGTAGCTAATGAAGTCGATCTTGTGAAACGCGACCTTGTAGACCTCCGAGTCACGGGACTTCCTCATTTCTGATGCTCTCAAACCCCTCCCATTCCTTTTTGATGCATGACAAAGGGGGAGAATGATGTTGATGTAGGTTGTGTTAATGTAGGTTGTTGTGATTAAAAATGTAGTTGAAATGCTGAGAATAGGATAATGGTGTAAAGGTGATCATTGACTGTACTGAAATCAAGTAGATGTGATCTTTAACTTGACTGTACTCTGAATTCCTAAATCAAATGAAAATACATGTTTTTGGTATCTATGAATTGCATGTTCTTGATTCTCTTATATATGATTTCATATGTATTACTAATAATGTTCAGATGAATGCACAAGGAAAGGGGGAGTTTTGTAAATCTCTTATATGTATGATCTTGCTTTCAAAATTATGCACATTGATAGAGGGAGAACTGCTCACATTCTTATTCTCATTTGACGAACACATAAATGAATTATCATCATCAAAATGGGGGAGATTGTTGACCTTGAATCTAAGGCTTTTGATAATCATAATTCATTAATGATGTTCTATGTAAACTAATGTCTACTTGAGTGAAATTACAGATCAAAGCTTTCATCAAGTCAAGACACTACAATAGAAAAAGCAAAACTGAAGAAGCAACACCAAGGCATGAGAAAAGGACTAGGGAATCAAGAGTCAAAGACAAGTCTTCAACATCTCATCAAAATGGGGTTAGTTAGGATGGTGAGCTCTTTCGGAAATCTTGTTAAAGTATATATGAACATCTTAAAGCTCAATCTCTCAAAATCATGCATAGAAAATCATTCATCAAAGTAAGGATCATTGGACCAAACTCAACTCATCAAAACATGTTCCTAAGTTATATGTTCCATTTCGGTCGACCGAAATGAAAGGATACCTTAAACCGGTAGACCGATTCTATCAAAGAGCTTGGGTCAAAATTTCTAAGAAATATCGGTCTATCGAAACTCAGGGCCATTCTAGTTCGGTCTATTGAACTTAAAATACACACTTGAGTTTCAGACGACCGAAACTAAATAGGTGAATGAGTCAGCAGAGCCGATTCTCACAAAATGTTTTAGAGCTTTTGAGGAAGGAGTTTCGGTCGACCGAAACAGATGGAAGTTTTCATCGGTCTATCGAAACATGGCTAGTAATCAACCTCAAACCAAGTCGGTCGACCGAACCTCAAGAGAGTTCTATTTCGGACGACCGAACCTGCGAAAATTCAAATTTCAAACAGCCATTTTTCCTCGAAGTGTGTGTCCAACAGCTAGAATTCATATCAGATAGTTCTGAAAGTCTATATAATGACTGGTAGCCTTCATTAAAGGTCGTTGCATTTATTGAGAAAGATCTTCTTGCAATCATAAAGCCTTTCATTATCATATACACACTTCTCATCATCAAAAGAGTATTGAGCTTCAATTTATTCATACATACTCTAGAGTGAGCTGAATCTTGTACTTTAGATCTAAGAGAGATCACTTTGTATTTCATCAAACTTGTTCAAATATTGTAAAGGCTGGTATGGCCCAAGAAAGACTAAGAGAAGGTGTTTCTCTTAGCACTTAGAAGCAAGGAAGAGCTTCTTGTAAAAGGTTTGCTCTCCACCCGCAAGGAGAAGCCATAGTGAATTGGGAAGTCTCAAGAGGGGTCTTGAGCCGAGGAGTAGGAGTTTCTGAATCTCGCTAAAATCGCTGAGTATATGTTTGCAATTTCTATCTCTATCTCTTACATTTATTGCTATATATTTTGTTTGATAAATATTATCCTTTGAAGTTCAAAATTCAGATTACTTTCTTCAATATTTATCAAGAAAGTTAAGCTTGGTTTTAGTTGATTAATTAAAACCCAAAATTGACCTTAATTTGCTTAAACTCTATTCACCCCCCCCCCCCCCCCTCTCGAGTCTATATCTAGGCAACAGTTGGAAACAGAGCATACAAAATAGAAACTTTGAGCGAAATTTTGATTAGTTCATGCTAAGAAATTCTTGCGGACCTATAGACGAATGCGTTCCTCTCCGTAAGGATATGAACATGGTATATTTACTTTCTTAAATCCGTTTCCGGGTGAATGAGAATTAGCCCCAAAGTAAGGTGTTGGATAAGCTTAAATGGGTATGCAAAATGTGGGAAGTGGTTGTCCCACATTGAAAATAAAGTGAAACCAATTGGAGTTTTGACAGCCCATGTTTGGAATTTGGGTTTGGGCCCAAGGGCATCCAAGTTTTTAAGAAAGGGAGGACCTAGGAAAGCTTGGGTCCAAGCCATTTACCACACATGCGCGCGCCCCGCCCGCCTGGCCTGGGCTTAATTGTAAAGTCCGGTTAATTTTTTATTAAACGGAATTTTTGAACTGGGCCTAGTGTTTGGGATTAATTTTATTTTGGGCTGGGCTTACTCGGGTGGGTTTCACTGTTTTGAATTGGGTTGGGCTTACGAATGGTTGTATCTAGTCCACCCAAGGGTTGCACCTGGTGTGAACCAGTGCACCCAATTTGAATAAGTGCTTTTGGTGATGGTTCAAGCTGAACCATTATGTCCCATGGCTGTTCGGGTCAACTGAAAAGGCACATGCATGCTATAAATACCTGCCTTTGGTCATTTGCAAAACACACCAAACTCAGAAATCTTCTTCTCCACTTTTGAGTTTTCCTCTCTTCTTTCATTCTCCCATATTTGCATACATATAGTATTAATGTGTCAGTTCGAGCCTAGTTCAGAGAGAGAGTACTTTACTGAGCCGGTTCGCCCATTTCTCCGGTTTGCAGTGCTGCTACTAAAGAAAGAAAGGTCGTTGTATCCTGAGAGATAAATGCTACAGAGTCTGCCAGCACTATAGTGGGACGAATCTATCTTAAGGAAATATAATCCAATTCTAAACTCGGCCTATTAACAAGTTCTTTATTTATATAGTTCGGTTTTATTATCATACTAATATATAAATATATTTTATTGGAGAATAATATATATGATTATTATTATAAAATAATAATCATATATATTATACTTGTTCATAGTATTTAAATAGTAACACTATAGCATATAAGACATATGATACATCTATACACAATATTGAACAACAAAATGTTCCTTGACTAGGGAGCTTGACCAACCCAAATTGATGAGAAGCACAAACAAGTGAGTGACCAACAATTAGGTCCAGGTCAGTTCTGATTTCCAAATACTATAATTTTTTTGGTATGGTGGGTATGGTTGGTTAGGGTTAATCATTATTTAATAAGAATTTGATTGTGCTATTTCGGAAAGAAATGATGGACAATATTTTAAAGGCCGTTGGCTTTACCCCAAAATGGTTTTTACATATTCATGAGCTGCTATTTTCTTTTAAATGCCTTGATTTTTTTTTTTTTTTTCACATGCAGTCTTGTCATTTTACATGCACCAACATTTATTAATAACAAATAAAAAAATTTTGGTTGCCTCAAGGAATTCGACACCCAACATGAATTGGAAATCTTTGTACATAGTGAATAACTTAATTTTAATTTAAATAAAAATTTTAGATGTAAAATATTTTTCAAAATATATATATATATATATATATATATATATTTAATTTTTTGATGTTTGGTTATCGTAAAATATTTACGAAAATAAAACAATATTAAAAGTAATAAAAATAACTTACTCGTCAATTTTCGACAAATTATTTTACACGCCACGTCTGATTGACTCGACGTCAACTTGGATCTAAACTTTTTTCAAATATTAAATTTTACCTTCTTTTTTTAAAAAAAAAAAAAAAAATTTCAAACAAAATATTTTAAATTGAAACAAATGCAGCCTTAATTAGAGTCGAAGAAAAAAAAATCTTTTGTGCTTGTCAATGCCGAGTGGAATGTCTGTCACTCGACAACAACATCCTAAGGTGAAGGCAATATGTGAGTTGTCCTTCCTTCAATTTACTCTGGCAACACATCCTTTCAGAGTGAGTGTATGATTAACACTAAAGGACTAACAACACCGGAAATTTATAAACAATTTTTTTTTTTGGTGAATTTCATATCTTGAAATGCATAAGAACTTTATTTCACTTGGGGTTTTGGCATTTTCTCTATAGTAATTCATGAGTCAAACCATCCAATTGTCCAAATCATTGGAAAACAATCTTGGATTGATCCTTACATTGGACTACTTGCAATCAATTTATCGCCTATTTTAGGCAACAACACATAGATTTTCTAAATATCCAGTGATCAATTCAATCCCTGACAAAGCTTTCCAAGAAATTCAAGCTCAACACACACACACACACACACACACACACATATACACACACACATTTATTAAAGCACAAAAATTGGTACATTAAGGAGATTTAAGAGGAAACTTAAAAGACTTCCTACTATTATAAAATGCAGTGCTTGATCCAGTCAGAATAGGGATACATCCGCCACAAAGTGCATTTTCTATCTACTTATACTCCTTTTTATACACAGATCAGGGGGTCATTGCTTGATGTAATTGTAAATCTCGGACTAACAATCGTGGGGATGTGGCAGAACATACATCTATAAATATAAATATAAATATATATATGTGTGTATATATATATGTTACATGGGTAACATCAGTAAAGAAAATCTAGAATGGCACGAAGCACAGGTACTTATCCTTAAGCCTTTTCATTCTGCCAACAAGAGCCTTATTTTCTGCTCTCGAAACAGCTTTAGGTCTTCTGGATGATGCTTCCACTTTATGTGAATTTGATGTACCTTCACTCTTGGGTTCTGCTTTCTGGCTTTCAACAACAACTATTGGGACTCTTTTAAGCCTTTTCATTCTGCCAACAAGAGCCTTCTTTTCTGCTCTCGAAAGAGCTTCAGGTCTTCTGGCTGATGCTTCTGCTTTATGTGAATTTGATGCACCTTCACTCTTGGGTTCTGCTTTCCAGCTTTCGGCAACATGTATTGGGACTCTTTTGTCAAGGAATGTTTCCTCAGAAGCTGAACCATCAGATTTCGGGGTTCTTTCAATTGGTAAATTGCTCCATTTGCCACTAATTAGAGATCCTGTGGACAAATGTTAAAATAACATACTTGTTACAGCCTACAGCAAATAAGTACCATGTGCGGATATTATCGAAAGATAAAGTATCAAAAAAACTGTGCAAAACAGTGCAGTATAATTTCAAGGAAATGAAGATGCGATTCCATTTAGTACTAAGACAAAGAAACTAGCCTAAGCATAGGTCCCAAGACCAGTCTCAATGCTGGTCTCAATTCACAACCCAAAGGTATCGGGATGACATATACTGCTTCAGATTGACATCACATCCACACAGCACCGGATAGGGTACAAAGATGACGGGTTCAATTTTGGCAACTATGAAATTGAACAATTAAGCAACCAGTACTATGATGATTAGCATAACAGAAGCTCACTAAGACTTCAATAAATAATGAAACCAAAACTAAACAATTACACCAACAATCTTCCCACCTTATAGATCAACATAAGATCGATAGTTTCACTTCCCAATGCAACTCTGCTACTTATAATTTACGGTTAATTTCATACAAAACCTCTATAACATCTATTGTCATTTTACACTCCTATATTATGAAAGTCGTCAAATCACTCCCTTCCCGCTAGTCTAGTTTTCAGTTAAAAAATAACGGAAAAGCACCTTGTGAACCATAAGTGAGACCAAAAATACTCATTTATTGAACCAAATACATTTGAATCCCAATTATAAAACACCCGAGCAGCACATATCCCACCCATAACGGTCATCTCTTTCCTCTGTGTTGCTCAAGGATCCAAAAACCTTAGCAGGATTTGCTATCATGGATGAAACACAAAAGCCCTTTCGGCTCAAATTGTACCACCAACTCTGTTTTGTATCAATCGGTCGTGGTGTTTTCATTTTCATTCATTCTTTTCCTCAAATATGGACGAAAGGAGAGGATAATGAAAAAAAGTAAGGCTGTTATTAAAAAATTAAATTACAATACCACCCTTCATAATCAAGCCCAATTTCAGAAAGTAATTGGACAACCATTTCTCCACTGTTGTTCAGAATATACCCAAATGAGTAAAAGTAGGCAACCATTTTTTTCATGAAAAAATCTTATTCTACTTTCTTTTAATAATTAAATAAATAAGACAATAGACAATCAATATTAGCACGAAACAATAAGAGATGATAGAAATGAAACAATTCATGTAAAAACAGGAAAAATGAACTTGGAACATCTTTTACTAGGAAAAAAAAAAAGACTTGGAACATGATAATGAAAAGGACTAGAAAGAAATCTTGACATACCTAAAGTGGGTGGACGCATAAGCATCTTGTTTGGTCTGCTGATAGATGCTGAGACACTGAACTGAAAATTTGCATTCTTCCCCTGCAACTCTTGGTTAACTTCATCATCTAGCTGTTGTAACAGAGACGATGAATCAAAACGTTCATCTGAGAAGAAGGACAGACAACTCGAATTATCTGAACTAGAAGAAGGTGATTCTGGACCAGCAAGATCATCCAGTTCCAAAAAGTCGCCTCTTAAAATATAATCATCTTCAGCCAGATTTTCTAGAGGAAGCTCTTGAAGTCTCTCACCCACAGTCAATGATCTTCTTGTCCCATCCCTACTCTTAACCTACAAGTTATTGAAATTAAAATAAGAATGTATACTATTTTATTTCAACTTAACTAACAGACAAATGGACAGTGGGCCAATCCCATGTTCAAGGAACCCTTCCACACTCGTATTATCATTATCAAAGTTTTTCCATGTCATGCAAGATCTTATTATAGATCTAGTTCTTGTTGGACATATAATTCCATATATCCAGCAGAATCTAGTCATCGGAAATCAAAAAATCAGGGCACAAATGAAATAAATCTTTCGCAACCCACTATTCCATTGGAAAATAACTAGTTAATTTTTTAAGAAACCAGCAACTCATGCATGAACTGAAGAAGCATTCAGAATCAGTTGACTTATTTGGTAAGGTTGGGACATATATGCATATCAAAACTCTGTATAAAGTAATAGCGATGAAAAATCCAACCCAAGCAGCCACATTAGAAAGAAAGGGGTAAAAGAAGTGCAGCAAGTGATTTTGAATGGAAATTGAACTACCTGGGATTTGCTTATATGACCTTCTCCAGAGTAGTTATCAGCATTTGGAACAGCTGATGGTATTGAATTGAAGTGGTTTCCACCAGCATTCTCTACACCCCCCTTCTTGTCGCGTGTTTCATGCTTTGGACTTTGTCCATCACAAAGAAAGACTCTGCACAGTGAAATGGATTCCTGCATGTTGTCCAACCAAACCGGCAATTGACTGGTAGGTTGGTTTGAGGATGAAAATAAAGTAATTGTCAGGAAATAAGCATATAGCGTAGCAGCTTGCATTAAATACCTTTGGTTTGCTACTCTCGCAAGCTCCCTTATGAGTTATCCAATATTCTTGCATCACCCAATTAGTTTTTTGTCCAAGAGGAGCACGGCCTTCATAGAATTCAAGAGTAGTTCTCCAACCAGCAATAGAAGAATTCGTGAATATCACACAGGCCTCCCCTTTGGTCCTCCAGAATCCAAATTCCGCATCTTTTTTCTCCTCTGAGCGTATAAGGTACCAGATGCCATCTGCATACACAAAATACCATCATAAGCTTTCTTCACATTTACTCAAGCTGGACCTTCAATACTACAGTTTCTCTGCAGCATACCATTAACAGACGTGAGGACGCGGTGAACCTCTAAAACAAGCATTGGAACTCTTAAATGTGTAAATTTCCAACATGATTGAATTAGAGAGGCGTTTCACCTATACATCCGTAAGGCATTGACTCAGAGATCAAATCAATACGGTTATCGTATTTGTATCAAAACTGTGATTGCAGTTAATCAACTATTAGATTAGGTACCAAATGTTTTGCCAAAAAATATATTATTAATCAGATCAGAGTCAAAATTTTCAATAGAATGTTGGCACGTTTGACACTTAATAGTTCAAAAAAACATATGTTAATAAAACTTCCATTATGAATCAGAGCGAAAAAGAAATCATTCTTCTCTCAATAAGCAAATTGGAATAAATTAAGCTAACAAGTCACTTATTAATAAGATATAGCAGCACATACCTCCATATATTCCATTCTATAATACTAAAACTTCAAATTGGGAAGGTCTCTTCTGGATTATATGAAGTAAGAATCTTATATAATCAGGACAAGGGAGTTCAACTAGGAAACTCAATATTAAATCAAAGTGGAGAGACAGCAAAAATATTGAGAGAGTAGAACACTAAATAGTACAAACCATTAAGGACTTAAAATAACAAAACTTATACTAACCAGGTAAATCTGAGGGCATGCACTGGTAAGGATTTACATCAGCAAACACATTGCCGGGGAGAGGGCATCCGCGTATGATCTCCTCCAAAGACAAAATAAGCCCCGCATCAGTCCAATAAACAGCAATATCAGCAGGAGAAACAGCTGGAGGACACATTGCAACCTATTCAAATGGAAAAGAAACATAGTGGACATAGTGGTTATCGAACACCCATCTCCGGACAGATCAAAAGAGAATCGTCAGTCAAACTGGGAAAATAGAAAAAAATTGAAAGTAGTAGTCAAATGTCAAATTTTAAATTGTAAACAAAATAACTTGGATTATAAAAGAATAAAAGAAGAACGAACTAAGAAATGGTATGACAATTTAAGATAATAACAATGACGTAAATATTAGAACAAATTGGGTTTAATTTTATTGTTAAAACAAATTCAATTTTATCCTCTTAAACCAGAAGTAAAACCAAATCCTAATTACAAACATCTAGTTCGTGAAGCTATGTATTTTGTCAAAATATCAAATGAATCCATCGCTCGAACAAAATAGCAATACATGACAACATAAATAAAAGCTTCACAAGCAAATATTATAGATCACACACACAGCACACACAAATAGAGGCAGTGAACACAAGTGGTAAAAAAAACATCTTGGCAGAATTCATATTCATGCCACAATGCCCATGAACACTTGACCCGCAACGCAAAAACCATTAATTAGTACAAAACACACAACAACCCAACAATAGAATACCTAAATGACAGAACAAAGCTCCAATCACTTCAAATGATCAGAAATGCCCAACACATACACATGACCCACTAGCCTTGAGCTTTTACCTAAAAGGTTCACTAATAATAACATGATAACTAGCCACAAGAACCAATTTTGGGGAAATTAACTAAAATTCAGTAGTTTTAAGTGAATAAAAAATCAATATCACTGAAAAATGAAGAGATTTCACCGCAATATTAAAGAATTAATGAACAAAAACAAAAACTACACAGCAGAATTGCATGAATAGGATTGAATCTAAAAAACTGATCATATATTCACCATGGAGTTCCACATATTACAATAACCTGGCATTTTCTTCACAAAAACAAGAACTTAAAATCAACTCCAATGAAATATGACAATCAATTATAGCTAATACATGAAAATTGATAATTAGGGTTAATAGAAAAGATAAAATTGAATTGAAAAAAATGGGTATAGAGGATTTTTCGAACCTTTTGGAGACAACCCAGTTAGTCCCTCTCTTAAGAGCTTCAAATCTTTTGCTTGGTCACTGCTAAAATGAACCGACCAGGTGGAGGGAATTTATAGGGGTTGGTAAAGGTCGTTTAAGTAATCTAACCATGGTTAGTTCTTTGCCCGCGCACACAATTAACAGAGTGTAGCTCTCTTTTTGTACGTGGTGATTGCTTAGTGGTTGAGCTTATGCATACTTGTGGAGCCCACTTGTAATTCACATAGGACTAGTAGTAATAATCTGACTCAGAGAAGGGCCATGCTCTTTTCTTGGAAGCTTCATTATCCAACTCGAGTTAAAATTATTTGCAATTGGAGCATCAATTCAGCCTCTGTTACATCAATTCAGCCTCTTACAAGGTCAAAATTCGTGAAGAACTCGTGGACACCTTTTGCTGGAATATGAGTATGTATATGTGTCGGATAATTTTAATTGAACATGTAAGACATATACACAATTATTTAATTATATTATATTATTATTTTAAAATAAGTTAAGTATTTATATTGAGTACTATATTAAATAAAATAATTATTTAGCGATATTTGTGTATTTTTTTATTTAGAGATTTGACGCGTTCTATACATGGATACATATTCGTGTCCGACACCTGTACCTAGATCTATGTAACATATAATTTCGCGCTTTAAGTTTGGATTGGAAATAATTAGTACAAATTTTCATTTGATATTTTCAAGCATAATATAAATTAAATAGAGTTATATAATCAAGAAAGTGAAAGATTATGATAAAAACTGGTACAAAATTTTCATTCCATATTCTGAAATATAACATAAATTAGATATAGTTACATAATCAAGAAAGAAAGGACAAAATTATGATATCATCCGGCGAATCACAAACTGACATATAGTCCCATTTAACGATTTCTCCAAAGAAAGTAGTTGGAAAAAAAAAATGTTGGAATAAGGATACAGTGACAAAAGGCCATCTAACTAGCAGCAACGGATCCCCTACTTTTTCCTGCATAATAAATATATATAAAAAACTTTGGATTGTTGATTAAACAAATTGTACATTCTTCCTCCTGCTCACATGGTATTTACATTATATATATAGTAGTGTTCAACTATTCCCTGATAAGTAGGGAGTAGTATGCTCATTTTTAATTGTAATTTTTGGATTTAATTTAACGAATGTCCTTTATTTGTAATAATTTAGATAACTTATAAATCTTTTTATTACCATTAAATATAATTGGAATGAAAAGACAAAAGGGTACAACTTTATTGAAATAAATAAAATTTAAGAAATCATGGTTCCTAATAATAAAAGAGTGTCGTGCCGGTTGATGATAGGAAAGTCATAGTTGATCGGAAATATAAAATTTAAGAAAATCATAGTTGATCGGAAATACAAAATTTAAGAAAATCATACTTGATCGAAAATATAAGGTTTAAGAAAAATCACAATTGATTGGAAGTCACTAGTTCATATCCTCAACAAAAAAAATTAAATAGTTGTGACCCAAAGCTATCTTTATTTTTAATTAGCATGCCCTATTTAATTTTTTTCCCCTCATGTTTCGGAGTATAAATCAAGAACAATTTGGGGACTGATTTTCTTAGACTGACTTAATGCATATTGCTTTCTTATATACTCCTTTTGGTTTTAATAGATTGTGGTATCAGTAGTTTTGTGCATCTAGGTAAAAATTTAGATCCTTGTTCTAGATGTTTGTAAGCATGGTTCTATGTAACGATTTATTTGTTTGTCGAGAAAAAAAAATTAAATAAATAAAAATTTGTGGATTCAGTAGAAGAGCGTGCTCAGATTATGAACGACCTATCAATCCAATTGACCACTTTCTAGGACTTCCCTAAAGATTGAAGGTGACTAATTGAATTTATGGCTCCAAGTAGGGCACTATTGTTGACACAATAGACTACATCATTCAGAATTGTGCATCATCATTTTTTTTAGTTTTTTTATAAGGTGCATCATCAGTTGAGGAAGGTTTAAAACAACTGTAAAAGGTCTTCCTACTCTTTCTTTCCCTATCCCCTCCTAAGAGCATCTCGTTTTTCTCTTTGTACCGCAAAACACTTCTCTTTGGACCACAAAACATAATTAATCATAGCTAGTCGAAAAATCAGAGTTGATCAAAAATATAAAATTTACAAAAAATAATCAAAGATGTGAGGGAAAGAAAATCAATAAAAATGTGGCAGACTAACTAATAATAAAAAGAGCTTTATTATTAGTTAGTGTGCCACATTTTGCGTCAACATTGAACAAAATCAAGTTTGTGTTCATGTTCATATTCATATTCTTGTTGTAGTTGAATTTGATGTCTTAAACCTCAATCTGTGCTTACTTTTACTAGTTTAGCTATCTGATATGAGTATACATATATGATATCTTGCTGTGAATTGAAATCTTATCATTTGAGCTAGTTTATATAGCTGAATCAAGGTTATTGAAGTTGAGTTTTGCAAAGGAATATGGTCATTTGTGAATTTGACATTTGAAGCCCTAGGTTTTAGGGTTTTCGACATAATAAGTACTTATTGAGCTGCGATTGAGACATACCTTGCTTATACCATTGGAATTATCATCTAAGCATGTGTATAATACTGATATAAGACTGTGGGAACTAAGTTCTATTCTGTGTTGAAACGATATTCCAGATTTACCACAGATTCAGTAGAATGAGGTCTTGCTGCTGTTGTCTGATACTTTAAGTTGTATATTCAATATTATCTTGTGTAATAACTTAAGTATTGTCATAATACATCTTTCATTATGTATTTGGTGAGCTGTGAGAGCTCATATAGTCCAAGCAGAGTTGCTTAGGACAGGAGGAGTGTTGTGTGTGTTGACACCCATTTTGGTATTTGGGTCGTGGATGGTATTTGGGTCGTAAGCACATTTTAATATCTGGGCCGTGGAACATATTTGGGTTATAGATTTATGATTGGGATGAAAGTGGTTTGGATTAGCAATTTAGTTGGGATGAAACTCATCAGTGTTATACATGGACATGGACTACAGGTAAAGAAACAATGACGTGGCAGATTTTATACAGAGCAAAACTACATACAACATGAAAGGGCGCCATAGATCGGATAGAGTATTTTTGAACTTTAAATACAATTGATAAGAGTTATGTGTAATATCCTTTATTTCAACTTACTTAAAAAGTAGTATTTATCTAGGATTGTTTAATTTGAATAATTATTCAGTTGTATTATAGGGTTATGTTGCCCAGATATAGACTCTAGAGGGGGGGGGTGAATAGAGTCTAAGCAAACTAAGGTCAATTTTGGGTTTTAATTAATCAACTAGAACAAAGCTTAACTTCCTTGATAAATATTGAAGAAAATAATATGAATTAAGGATAATATTTATCAAACAAAATATATAGCAATAAATGTAAGAGATAGAGATAGAGATTGCAAACATATACTCAGCGATTTTAGCGAGGTTCGGAAACTCCTACTCCTCGGCTCAAGACCCCTCTTAAGACTTCCCAATTCACTATGGCTTCTCCTTGCGGGTGGAGAGCAAACATTTTACAAGAAGCTCTTCCTTGCTTCTAAGTGCTAAGAGAAACACCTTCTCTTAGTCTTTCTTGGGCCACACCAGCCCTTACAATATTTGAACAAGATTGATGAAGTACAAAGTGATCTCTCTTAGATCAAAAGTACAAGATTCAGCTCACTCTAGAGTATGTATGAATAAATTGAAGCTCAATACTCTTTTGATGATGAGAAGTGTGAATATGATAATGAAAGGCTTTACAATTGCAAGAAAAACTTTCTCAATGAATGCAACCACTTTTTATGAAGACCTCAACTCATTATATAAAGTTTCAGATGAGTCTGATATGCAATCTAGTTGTTGGACACACACTTCGAGAAAAATAGGCCGTTTGAAATTTGAATTTTCGCAGGTTCGGTCGTCCGAAATAAAACACCCTTGAGGTTCGGTCGACCAATTTGGTTAAAGGATAGCCATTAACCTTGGTTCGATAGACTCTTGAAAAAGCTCTCTTTGTTTTGGTCGACCGAAACTCCTTTCTCCTTTGTTCTAAACTCTCTGTGAGAATCGGCTCTGCTGATTTATTTGCCTCTCTAATTTCGGTTGCCTGAAACTCAAGTGAGGGTCTTTCAAATGCTAGGTTCGGTAGACCGAAAAAAAAAGGTCCTGAGATTCGGTAGACCGAAATAGTTTAGAGGTTTTGATCCAAGCTCTCTTCTTGTATCGGTCGACTGATTTAATATGCCCTTTTAATTCGGTCGACCGAATTGGTTTATGTTTCAGGAACCTGTTTTGATGATGTGTTAAGCTTGGTCCTTTGATCCTTAGATATTATGAATGAGTTATTTATGCATGATTTAGGAAATGAGCTTCAAAATGTTCATACAAACTTTAACAAAGTTTCCTAAAATAACTCACCATCCTAGCTACCCCATTAATGAGATCTTGATAATTTCTCTTGAATCTTTATTCCTCTTTGTCATATCTTGGTGATGCTTTTTCCTTTGAGCTTTAATATGTAATGACTTGTCTTGATGAATAGTTTTGATCTGTAATTTTGCTCAAGATAAACATTAGTACACATAGAACATCATTAATGAATTATGATCATCAAAATCCTTGGATTCAAGGTCAACAATCTCCCCCTTTTTGATGATGACAATTCACTGATGTGTTCGTCAAATGAGAATAAATATAAGGATAATGATGTGAACAATTCTCCCCCTATCAATGTGCATAGTTTTAAAAGTGAGGATATACATATACGAGATTTACAAATCTCCCCTTTTCTTTGTGCATTATGCAAGACATATTTAAGTCATATATGCATATATATATAAAATATCAAGACAATGTATTTGAAAGCATGCAATTCATAAATACCAAAAACATATATTTCCATTTGATTTCAAGAATTTCAAAGTACATTCGAAGGATAGCATGGTCAATACATCTACTTCATTTTACTACCCCATTCACAAGATCTCAACTTCATTTTCAATCACAGCAATTAACATCCTACATTTCATTCTCATTCACAACCTACCTACATCAACATCAATCTCCCCCTTTGTCATGCATCAAAAAGGTTGGGGGGGGGGGGGGGGAAAGGGCCTCAAAAGTGAGGAAGTCCTGTAGCTCGAAGATCAGTGAGGTCGTGCTTGATAACGTCAACTTCGGTTGCTACCTCTTTAACTCATTCACACAAGGCGAGAATGTGGTCCTTATTCTCCTTCTCAATGGCAATTTGCTCCTTTAAAAGAGTAATACTCTCAAGGAGAAGCTCTCGGAGAGACCTTTCTTCGGAAAGAGGGATATTCATAGATTCCTGTTGATCTTCCTCTTCTTCCTCTTCTCCTTCTTCTTCCTCTTCTTGTTCTTCTTCACTGTCTGCATTTCCACCCACTTCAGCACCTTCAGCTTGGTGCTCTGTCATGACAATATCTTGGCCCTCATTTGTCGGATTTCCAAACTTAGGGTTATACCAAATGTGGTCTTCAGATTTTTTAAGCCCCATCTGATTCAGCAAGTCTCTGTCTATTCTGTAGAGATTAGTAAGCTCCTTTTTATCCTCCCCTTCTATTCGCACTTTGTATTTTCTGAAGATTAGGGTAAGAGGTATGACATAGAATAGGTGTGTTTTTTTCCTTTTTAACGCAATCTTGCATGTAGTGATAGATTATGAAGGCAAGATCAAATTTCTTTCCATTTAGGACACACCATATGAGAAAAGCTTTCATGAACGACACATCCGAGCGTCCGCTTGATTTTGGAATGATGGTATAGATGATGATATGATAAATGAGGCGTGCTTGAACGGTTAACTGACTTGCTATGATTTTGTCAGTGTTTTTAGTGGGGAAATGGCTAACTTGTTAAACCACTTGGGGAGGATCAAATTCTTCCCCATAGTACCAGTTATAGGATGTGAAGTAGGTAATATCACCGAGAGGAATTTTGAGAATACGCCGAATGCTGGCCATGGTAAGGTGAATGTGAGTGCCTACGACGAAGGAATCATAAGTGTTTTGCCCTAGACTTTTCTCCAGATGAGTGTAAAATAACCTTACAAGCTTAGGGTAGTAAGGGACTTTGAGTGATACAAATTCACCTAAGCCTATTGCATCAAACAGTGAGAAATTATGTTGAATCAGTGGTTCATTTTCAGTATTATCAAAAAAAATTCCTTTTTTAACAATCTTGTGGAGGAATCGAGTTTCATAGACTTCCTTGAACTTGGGTTCACAAAAGAGACGCATATTTGGAGCGGGATATGAGTCGTGATTTTCAGGATTTGGTAGGTTAGACCCTCCGGCATCCATATCATGAGAGCTCCTAGGGTGTTTTTCTAAGTTCCTAGAGGGGTTCTTTCGAGAAGCCATGAGAAGTCTCTTAGATGAGTTCTAGACAATTTTCTTAGGTGGTTTTCTAGTGGATGAGAGATTTTGAGAGACTAATGATAGAGATGATGTGAAGGATTGCAATAGAAATCTAATCTACAATGCTATAACAGAGATACCATCAAAGATTAATAATCGAAGGAAATGAAATTGATTGATCTTTGAAAGAGGAGTGGAACTTACTTTGAATATGAGGAGGAGAGGAGTGAGAGATTCGTAATCGCCTGTGGAGAGATACGGAGCGAGAGGGTTAATGGATTTGTGAGGTGAGATAGGTTGGCGGGTCATTTAAATCTAATTTAGCCCTGTTTGTATCTGGGCCCCAGAAGAATCGGTCAACCGAATGTCTACATTGGTCGACCGAAATGGCTTTTGAAGAGAATTCGAGTTTCTTATTTCGGTCGACCGAAATAGATGACATTTTAGTTTCGGTCTACCGAAATATTTAAATCGGTCGACCGAAACATAGTTTCGGTCTGCCGAACTGGAGTTAGAAGCACATCTTTTATTTTTCTTGAAGGATTCATTAGTGATCATGAATCTCTCTTTCTATAGCCATTCCAATTTCTCGACGAAGAATGCAAAATCTATCTTCTTGAAGTGGCTTCGTGAGAATGTCAGCCAATTAATTCTCGGTGTTGATGAACATCAATTCAATATCACCTTTAGAAACATGATCTCTTAAGAAACGATATCGAATTTCTATATGCTTTGTTTTAGAATGTTGAGTGGGATTTTTTGATATGCAAATGGCGCTAGTATTGTCACATTTGATAGGGAGTTTGTTGAAGAATAAACCAAAGTTTTCAAGTTGTTGTTTGATACAGATAATTTGAGCACAGCAGCTACCAACAGCAACATATTTAGCTTCAGCAGTGGATGGTGCGACTGAATTTTGTTTCTTGCATGACCAAGGCACAAGGGACTGACCTATAAGGTGATAAGCGCCGCTTGTACTTTTTCTATCAACTTTACAACTGACAAAATCCGCATCCATAAATCCTACAAGTTCAAATGATGTATGCCTAGGATACCACAAACCTAAGTTAGTAGTGCCATTTAAGTATTTAAAAATACTCTTGACAGCATTTAAGTGAGATTCTTTGGGACAAGATTGAAATCTACCACATAGACACACACTAAAATAATGTCCAGCCTACTAGCCGTTAAATATAGAAGACTTCCAATCATCCCTCTATATTTCTTAATATCAACATCCTTGCCCTTCTCATCCTTATCAAGCTTTAAGGAAGGACTCATGGGAGTTTTAGCATGTTTGGTATCTTTTGAGCCAATTTCTTTAGCAAATCTTTAGTATACTTTGATTTGGAAATAAAAATTCCATCAAGAGTTTGTTTCATTTGCAACCCTAAGAAGCAGTTGAGTTCACCCATCATGTTCATTTCAAACTCGTTTTGCATGGAGATAGCAAACTCTTTATTTAGAGAACTATTTGTTGATCCAAAAATAATGTCATCAACGTAAATTTGAATGATCAACAAGTTGCCATCAATGATTTTGGTAAAAAGTGTATTATCAATTTTTCCTTTACTAAAATCATTTGAAAGTAGAAACCCACTAAGTCTTTCATACCAAGCTCTAGGAACTTGTTTCAAACCATATAAAGCTTTAGTCAATTTAAAAACATGGTTTGGATTATTATAACTTTCAAAGCCCGGTGGTTATTCTACATATACTTCTTCATCTATAAAACCATTTAAGAAGGCGCTCTTTACATCCATTTGAAATAATTTGAAATTTTTGTGGGATGCAAATGCAAGTAACATTCTTATAGCCTCAAGTCTAGCAACGGGAGCAAAAGTCTCTTCATAATCTATACCTTCTTCTTGGTTATAGCCTTTTGCAACAAGTCTAGCCTTGTTCCTAACAATAGTTCCCGACTCATCCTTTTTGTTTCTAAAGACCCATTTTGTGCCAATGACTGTTTTATTTTGAGGTCTAGGGACAAGATGCCAAACCTTGTTCCTTTTGAATTGAATAAGTTCTTCTTGCATTGCCAAAAGCTAAGATTCATCATTTTTAGCCTCTTGTATATTTTTAGGTTCGAATTGAGAAACAAATGCCACAAAATTGCATATATTTCTTAATTGTGACCGTGTACTAACACCTTTGGATGGATCACCAATAACTTGGTTAATGGGATGATTATGAACTAACTTTCATTCATTTGAAGTAGTTTTATTTTGAGAGGTATCATCACTTGAATTGGAACTTTGATAGATATCAATAGGAGACTCATTTATGTTGAGATCATTGATACTCTTCTCAAGCTTTATAGGGGACCTATTTCTATTAAGTTCATTGGTACCCTTTTCAAGTTCAACTTCTTCATCATTGCCCATCACATTTTTTATGGGAGAGGTTGGGGATTCATCAAACACAACATGAATGGATTCAACCACACTAAGGTCCTCTTGTTATAAACTCTATATGCTTTACTTCTAAAGGAATATCCAAGAAAAATGTCTTCATCGGATTTAGCATCAAATTTTCTTAGATTATCCTTGTCATTGAGGACAAAGCATTTGCATCCAAAGACTTTGAAATAACCTATATTAGGTTTTCTTTTGTTACATAACTCATAAGGTGTTTTGTTAAGAATTTTTCTAATAATAACTCTATTTATAACATAGCATGAAGTGTTTACGGCTTCAGCCCATAGAGATCTAGGTGAATTATGCTCATTTAGCATGGTTTTAGCCATTTTTTGAAGAGATCTATTTTTTCTTTCAACAACACCGTTTTGTTAGGGAGTCCTAGGTGTCAAACGATTGTGATTATAGCCATTTTTGTCACAAAATCTTTTACATCTTGATTGTCAAACTCTCTACCCCTATCACTTCTAATGGTTTTAATTTTACAGTCCTTTTTGTTTTCAACTCTTTTGCAAAATTTTAAAAGAATTAAATGAGCCTCATTTTTGCGTGCAAGGAAGAATACCCAAGTGAATCTAGAGTAGCCATCTATGATCACAAAAGCATAGAGTTTACCACCAAGAATAGCAATTTCTCCGGTCCAAAAAGATCCATATGAATCAATTCAAGTGGTTTTGAAGTGGTTATATCCTTTTTCCTTTTGAAGGAGGACTTAATTTGCTTACCTATTTGGCAAGCACTACACAATTTGTCTTTTGAAAAATTTGTCTTGGGTAGACCTTTGACAAGTTCATTTTTAGACAATCTTGAGATTAAATCCATGCTAGCATGACCTAACCTCCTATGCCACAACCAACTATGTTCATTGGATGACATGAAACATTTAACATCTTGTTCTTGAAGTTCACCTAAGAGCAAGGTGTATACATTACCATTTCTAGGAGCATAAAATATTTGAGATTCATTTCTTTTAACAAAGCATTTATCTGATTTAAAAATCACATCAAATCCATTATCACAAAGTTAACTAACACTAAATAGATTATGCTTTAAACCTTCAATAAGTAAGACATGTTCAATTGATAAAGAAGGAGAAATACCTATGATCCCAATGCCAATTACCTTGCCTTTAGACTTGTCTCCAAATGTTACGCTTCCTCCTTTGTATGCTTCTAGAGAGGAGAATTTTGTGTGGTCACCCGTCATATGTCTTAAACATCCGCTATCTAGAAACCATTTGTCCTTGGAAGATGTGGAGACTTTGAAACCATCCTACAAAAGAAATTTCAAGTATTTTCACTTGGTACCCAAATCTTATTGGGTCTATGGGAGTTAGCTAAGACCACATATGTTCCTTTAAGAACCCACTTCTTTATGAACTTAGGCTTTCTCTTTGAGCACCCTTAAATAAGATGACCTATCATTTTACAATAATTGCATCTAGAATTTTTGTTCTTGCTTTTAACAAAGTAGTTAGCCAAAGGCTTTCTCTTTTTCAATAGACATGCTTTCTTGTTAAAAGGGTCATATCCTAATCCATTTTTATAAAAGACACTTCTTTGAGCACCTAGCATAAATTCTAGATTTTTGGTACCATGAGTAAACTTTGCTAGACCATCAATTTGGTCTTCAATGATTAACTTCAAGGATGCATTTTCAGAGATGAGTTCAGGTGATCCTGTTTCTTTAAGCAAAGTGCATTCCTTTTTCAAGCACTCATTTTCATTTAGAAGAGTTTGAAATTTGCTTTCAATGATAAGTTTTTCTCTTCTTTGAGAAGCACATTTTTTGACCATTTTACCTAGTTCATCATGCAATTCTTTAAAACCATCAAGTAATCCATTATATGCATCAACTAAATCATCATAGGACATTTCACATTCAGAGGAAGAGTCATAATTAGAGTTTACCTCATCCCTATTTGCCATGAGACAGAGGATTGCCTTTTCATTATCGCTTTCAGAGCCATTTGAGTCGTCATCTTCCCAAGTGGCTTGCATTGCTCTTCTCTTTTTCTTTTCCTCTTTGTAAACGTGACAATCAGCTTTGAAGTGCCCCAGCTTTCCACAATGAAAATAGGTAGAGGTGTCTCGTTTGCTCTGTTCATTAGATGATTCACCCTTTTTGAACCTTCCCTTGTTGAATTTCTTCCAATGAAGAAATCTTTTGAAGGATTGAATGATAAGAGCCAAATCATCATCTTCACTTTCGTTGCCGGCAACTTCCTTTTCTATTTAAGAGACTTTGAGAGCAATTTCTTTCTTTCGATGATGATCTCCTTCTCTATCTTTTAGAGTGATCTCCCATGTGAGAAGAGAGCCGAGAAGTTCATCTAACTCAAGTGTGTTGAGATTGTGAGCTTCCTTAATTGTTCGTTGCTTTTGCATCCCATTTTTCGGGTAAGCTTCTTAGAATTTTCCGTGCAAGATCAGAGTTAGTCATAGTTCTGCCAAGATGCTTCAACCCATTAATAATGTCAGTAAATCTCACAAACATTGCACTAATAGACTCATTTTCATTCATATGAAACAATTCATATTAATGCATAAGAATGTCCATTTTGGATTCCTTGACCTGTGAAGTTCCTTCATAAGTAACCTGAAGTTTATCCCAGATTTCTTTAGCTGTAGTACAAGTAGAGACTCTGTTATATTCTGTAATACCCCTAATTTTAAAAGGCTATTCCTGGAATTTAGTTTATTGTTTATTTGCATTTTATTTGATTATTTGCAAAATTGTTTTATTTAATTATTTGCTTCATAGTTTTATTTGTTTAATTAGTCATGTTAGGTAATTATTTGCTTAGTTGTTTTTATTTAATTGTATTTATATACTTGTTTATTTAATTATTTTTATTTAATTGTGTTTAGTTAATTGTTTAATCGATTTTATTTAATGAAAATTTAAATTTAATGGAATTTAGTTTTTCTGATTTACACGTGAATTTAGGGTTGCAATTTACATGGGTGGCCGACGTAGGTATATATCCTAGGTTGGTTTATGGGCCGAGATGGGCTCTGGCTTTAAGGTTACAAGGATTAGGGTTCAGAGTTAAGCTTATAAATATATCACATGCGATAAGCCTAGGGTTTTTGTTTCATAACAGTTAACTCGTAGACGTAAATTGAGTTCTATCAAAACACGAAAACTGTAAGGTACAGAGGGAGAATAGAGAGAGATAGGAGAAGAAGGCTAGGTGGGAGCATGGAGGAAGGAACGTGGTTTGTGGAACAGCAGTGGGGTGTTGAACGGACAATACAGAAACTGGGAATTAGAGTTTCAAGTCTGAAACTCAAAGACAAGTTCTTTTCTTTCTCCTTCCATTTGCCTGTGTACCTAGATAGCCTCTAGGGGATTAATTGGATAATAAGTGAACCATGTATGATTGTTGTATGATGTATTTGATTTCCTGTTGTCAGTGAAAATAATTTGAAATTATAATGTCATATATGGTTTTGTATGTCTCTGTTTCTGCATAAAAAGGTCCATCTGTTTTAAATCTTTTGTTGAACCTTCTGCACTAAACCATGAACTTAATCATCACTAGATGTAAAATAAGACCTGTAAGCTCAAAGTAGAGGAGGAACAGTAAGGTTCAAGTAGCCGGAGACGGAGGGGATGAGCTAAAACAAAGCAGTAGGAGGTCGGAGGCTCTCAAAAAGGGGTGAGAGTTGGCTCCATAGATATGGGAGCCGGCTCCCATACAAGTAGAGCCAGCTCCAAGTACCTTGGAGCTGGGTTCAAGTATTCTAGAGCCTGCTCCCACAATTTGGAGCAAGCTCTCTCTCAAATACACTTTCTGAATTTTTTTTTTTACGAGTAATTTGAGACTGTAGGAGTTGGGGACTGTTTAGACTAAGCCTGGGACTTCACAGAATGTTTAAAAAGGTAGTCTTAGGTCTTAATAAGACCTTTAGTTGATGAAAGTTTAATTCTAGTCAACGGAACAACGGTATAAAATTATTGGGTTGTCTATACTGTTAATGGATAAAAGATGGATTAAATTGCTTAATTAAATTTTAGCAATGTATTAGGAGGTAGGATGTTTATAAAACCTGTTTTAAATGCATTATAAGGTCTTTTATTTATTTCTTGTGATCTATACATGCTTTGGGATGCTAATTGTCGAAATAGTAAATCTTTTCTACAATTAAGTGGATTACTGTTAATTTTCAATTGCTAGTATAACGAAACCATTTATGAAATTATTTGGATACTAGTTGGGACTGTAAATTACTCAGTTATGATTTATATGTTGTAATTTACATGGATATAGAGGATTGTATGCACCGGTATGGGACAGTGGCATACTGGGGACGGTTTAGCTCAAAACGCTAAGACCTAACCTACCGGATGGAAATGATGGATTGTAAAATATTGAGTCCATCAATGTGTGCAGGTCAAATCAACTGACTAACTTGAATGACTTTCTGGATTAATTGGTTGTAGTTAAGTCACATCAGCTGAATAACTTTGGTGCTTATCTGGACGGTAGTTTGTATGTCTCCTTATTGAATAATTGAATGACATACTATGGTTTCGGACGGACTTTAGATATATGATTATGGTACCACGATATGAGCTTGAGTCTCAGAGTCGTTGGTTAAGGTGCGTATATGCAGTCGATGCGTAGCTGGATATAGTAGGTAGGTGTACCCTGTTAGGTCTAGGTACTCATGCTCACCTTTGGGTGCGTTTTTACGTGATATCTTCTATTTAGGTTGAGACCCCTACTGTAGTCCAGTGAATGTCCTTAGTGTGGATATATATGTATATTTAAGGATTATCTAGATATGTTGAGGGTATCTAGGGTGTATCTGCGTATCGGGCACTGTATGGATTGTAGTTAGATTAGGACTTGCATGTGGGCCTGACCCACTCTCTCATTTTTTAGGTGCTCTCCAGTTCTAGGGTTAGAGCTTGGTCGTGTTGGTCATGCAGAGCAGATACAGACTTCCATTCCACTGACTACGTAGGACTGCTTCTTTATTTACTTTGGATCTTGCTTTAGTTATTTTAGTTTTTAGTTTGGATTATTATTAGGGGTCCACTAGAGATAGATTCCCGAGTTGTAATCATAGAGGTTTTGGCAGTTGGATTTTATTAAGTTTTATCAGTTTGAGGATTTTACATTAGTATTTTTTTCAATTTTTAATATTTATTCCTATTTTGTTTTTATAATCTGTGTTCGTTTTAAATATTAATTGTTTGATATTCCCTCGGGTTTGGGCCTTGGCTTGATCAACCCGTGTCTCGGATCCGAGGGGTATCACATATTCACTAGGACTTATAGTACAATTTAGATTGACTTTAGCTTTAGCATTTAAAGAAATAAGTTTATAATCCTCGGTGTCCCATTCAGCTTTAGTTTTAGGGATTCTTCTTGTGTTAATAATTTTCATTGGAACAAAAGGTCCATTAACTATAACCAGCCAAATTTGATAGTCTACGGATTGAAGAAAGTCTATCATTCTATTTTTCCAATAGCCGTAGTTTGTTCCATCGAACCAAGGAGGTCTAGTATTAGATTGGCCTTCTTGATGAAGATGACCATTTAAGTTTGCCATGATCGTTCTCTAATGCACTTAAGCTTTTTCAATAGAGTTCTAGCTCTGATACCAATTGTTGCCCAAATATAGACTCTAGAGGGGAGGTGAATAGAGTCTAAGCAAACTAAGGTCAATTTTGGGTTTTAATTAATCAATTAGAACAAAGCTTAACTTCCCTGATAAATATTGAAGAAAATAATCTGAATTAAGGATAATATTTATCAAACAAAATATATAGCAATAAATGTAAGAGATAGAGATAAAGATTGCAAACATATACTCAGCGATTTTAACGAGGTTCGGAAACTCCTACTCCTCGGCTCAAGACCCCTCTTGAGTCTTCCCAATTCACTATGGCTTCTCCTTGCGGGTGGACAGCACACCTTTAACAAGAATCTCTTCCTTGCTTCTAAGTGCTAAGAGAAACACCTTCTCTTAGTCTTTCTTGGGCCACACCAGCCCTTACAATATTTGAACAAGATTAATGAAGTACAAAGTGATCTCTCTTGGATCTAAAGTACAAGATTCAGCTCACTCTAGAGCATGTATGAATAAATTGAAACTCAATACTCTTTTGATGGTGAGAAGTGTGTATATGATAATGAAAGGCTTTATGATTGCAAGAAAAACTTTCTCAATGAATGCAACCACTTTTTATGAAGACCTCAACTCATTATATAAAGTTTCAGATGAGTCTGATATGAAATCTAGCTGTTGGACACACACTTCGAGAAAAATAGGCCGTTTGAAATTTGAATTTTCGCAGGTTCGGTCGTCCGAAATAAAACACCCTTGAGGTTCAGTCGACCGATTTGGTTAAAGGATGGCCATTAGCCTTGGTTCGGTAGACTGTTGAACAAGCTCTCTTTGTTTCGATCGACCGAAACTCCTTTCTCCTTTGTTCTAAACTCTCTGTGAGAATCGGCTCTGCTGATTTATTTGCCTCTCTAATTTCGGTCGCCTGAAACTCAAGTGAGTTTTTTTCAAATGCTATGTTCGGTAGACCGAAAAATAAAGGTCCTGAGATTCGGTAGACCGAAATAGTTTAGAGGTTTTGATCCAACCTCTCTTCTTATATCGGTTAACTGATTTAATATGCCCTTTTAATTCGGTCGACCAAATTGGTTTATGTTTCAGGAACCTGTTTTGATGATGTTAAGCTTGGTCCTTTGATCCTTAGATATTATGAATGAGTTTTTTATGCATGATTTAGGAAATGAGCTTCAAAATGTTCATACAAACTTTAACAAAGTTTCCTAAAACAACTCACCATTCTAGCTACCCCATTGATGAGATCTTGATAATTTCTCTTGAATCTTTATTCCTCTTTGTCATATCTTGGTGATGCTTTTTCCTTTGAGCTTTAATATGTAATGACTTGTTTTGATGAATTGTTTTGATCTGTAATTTTGCTCAAGATAAACATTAGTACACATAGAATATCATTAATGAATTATGATCATTAAAATCCTTGGATTCAAGGTCAACAAGTTATAATACAATTAGACTGCTTGTATTTAGAAATTTATTTCACAGTTTATTCTATAAATAAACAAAGAGGCATGCTGAGATCAGGGTCTAGCACCCTCATAATCATTTTTTTATTATTGTTGCTTTCTTAAGCACTTTCCTCAAATAGCATCCTTACTATCTATATCTCTCTCCCTCTCTATTTCAGTCTCGTTCTATTTCTCTCCCTATATTTTTGTCTCTCTATCTCTTCTCCCTATCACTTTCTAAATCTATATTTTCTCCCATTTCTATTCTCATATTATTATATTCACTGATAAAGTCCTTTTAATTAAGGCAATTAGACCTCAAAGAGGAGTTATATTTGT